TGTCCATAAACCCATTGTTGTTATGACCTCATAAATGTTGAAAAAATAAAAATCATTCCTTAAATAATACTGCGATCACTGAGGGAAGACATGGACGATACAGCGTAAACAGTGAGCAAATAGTAATACACGCCCTTAGTTGCAAACAGACGAAGGATGAAGAAGACACGATATTGCGACTGTTTGGGGCAAACAGAGGAAGTATATCGGACTGTATGAGACTGCAACCCGTTTGGACAAAGAGAGGAAGAACAGATAACGATGCCATCATCAGCGACAGACGAAGCGTGAGAAATAGATGACACTTTTCTTGGGACTCAGTCTATGATAATAAACACAATGTAGATAGAAATTATAATGGTTGCTTAATTGTTATTACTCGAGTGCCCGTTTGTCCTGATTCACCCTGCAGGTTCGGGCGGTGGGGGATGGAGCAGATTCGGGCGGTGGGGGGATGGAGTTATTGTAAAAGGCGGTAAATGTGTGACCCTGCAGAGTCGGGGGGTTTCGTCCGTGTCTTTTGCTTAGGGGATATCTGAGGACCAAAATTGACCCATTGCAATATAGATCGTCTTTTCTTACTTCTCTACTCCAGTTTTCGGCTTGTGTCTCCCTATGCATCCGTCTTCTAGAACCACCATTCAAACAAACAAAATTAGTGAAATCGCTACATTGCAGATTTTACAATCGTGAATACAATCAACCCAATTACCTTTACTCGGGATTCATTTCCATCGTAGATTTTATATGGAACAGGTCGAAATGTGCTTTAGTACTCTGCTGTTATACAATGTACTGTAGCCGGTAGCTTTCCGGGCCTTTATTTCCAAAATTGCACACCGTATCTGCCTGAAGGAAAGCTCACCCATCACATCTGTCCCTGCTTCAGAAATCTGTTTGCTATTTGCTAAAAACTTTCCCATATATATCTAGTATCTTCCTTCCTCCTTTTTCATTATCTGCCTTGTTATTAACGATGTCTGATTTTTTTTGTAATTCATCGGATTCGCTTATAGCCTGTATCCCGGTGGTCTACCCATGGGTAGTTTCATCTTCGATTCTTGGGACATTACATGTATTTCCATCCATTCTATCTTGATCTTCCTCTAAGTTCGTAACTTTTCATTTTCACCTCTGTTCTTGGCTCATCTACTTTCCCTTTTTAGGGTTTTTTTCACATAGATAGGCAAACTAATGGCATAGTGCTATCATTTTAATTAGTTTTTTATACGTGTATGATCGCCTTGACTTCGCAAACGAATTACATTTCACTTAATACAAAACAGTAACAGGAACCGGAAAAGAAAGTCGCCAAGAACTGAGGAGATAACAAAACAAACGGAAGGACACCACCAGAAACCAAAGGAAAGGAAACACAACAAAGACAACCGAGGAGACACCAAAGTAACGAGAAGACAAGAATCGATGAAATATCAAAAAATAAGTTTCATGAACCCTCCTCTCAAAATATCTTGAAAATTAAACCCATGTGCACCGGAATGATAAGCGTTTCTAGTAGTACATATTGAACCCATTATCAAATCTGTCAAATCCAGGAGGGGGAGTTAGTCCCAAAATAATTCTACGATACAATAATGACCTCCTTAAATCATAGCCGACAGATATATCGGGTCATGATGACGACCATAATTAAAGCCTCTTAAGCAGACAACCTTCTTTACATAATTCGGTCAATAGAGCTCATTGACATTGAAAAGCAAACTCTGCATTAAAGCCATTTTGGTCTCTGTGGAGTATAACATATAGATAGGCTTTAATGTTGCTGATCCTTGTCACAAGTAATCCCCTTGATTTTGTTTTTTTATGCCATTTGATAAAATTGCATTACGAGTTTGTAAACGAGGCAAAATAGATGTGTACCACTTGTTATGCAATGCAAACACATCTCACATCAGCGACATTCAAAGAATATCAAGGTTAGATTTATTTGATAATCTTTCGTCCCACCATGCTACAGGCCAAATAGCATGACCCTAAGCCTCTTGATTATTCAGATGAAGTTATTGATGTGTCTAACACATTTAACAAGTGAACCATCCTCGATACTTCAGGGTTACGCTCAATTACGCTCTCTACACCCCTGGAATATGTCGTGGCAAAACTTAAGGCTCTGCGTGCACCACCTTGTGTAGGAGACGAGAAAACTAGTTTGATCCTCTAATGTACATCTAAAGAATCTCGCGGTCACGCAACGGTACAACAGACTTGGCTTTCAAAGGACAGGTATATGCCCAGCGATTGGTCAGGTTTCTTTACCCGGGACCAATCAAATAGCTAGCCGCGTGCCTTCAATTTTGCTATGATATTCCAGGGGTGATGAGAGCGTAAGTGAGCGTAAACACTGAGGTATGGAGGATGCTAGTGACATTGAAAATGTGTCTATTCAATCATTTAAACAAAGTTGAAATCCATTTATCCCAGCATACTAAATGTGCTGGCCGTATATTATTCTATATCTTTTGGCTTTTCAAGGAAGTTATTCAAAGAAAAAACTTATGCCAGGTAATGATACGTGTACACAAGTTGACAGGTACTTCCTGCCAGGTGAGCTAACAAGAGGCTCAAGGGCCTTAGCGGTCACCTGAGTTATATTATAGGTACTAGTAGCTCAATTTCATTGTTGAGATGTACAAAATGTGGAACACAACACGTAAACAGAGTGAAATACAATACAAAGTATAAGAACTTTAACAAGAGGCCAAGAGGGTATCACCTGCTTCTTTTGTTACATGAAACTGACATATAGGTAACTTCAGACCAAATTTGGATACTAGAACTAAAGACATTTTAACATCTCTTAAATCTCCCACATTGACCTTTGACTCTGGCTAGCATTTAAAAGTTGACATTTGACCTCATTACTGTAATAAAGAAAACGATTCACAGCTGGTCTACATAACATACCCAAGTATCATGACTCTAGACCTTCTTAGGATATCGTTGCTTAAAGCACTCCATCCCAGGTACCTACTGGCCAAATATCATGACCCTGGGCCTTATGGAACTTGAGAAGAAGATTGTTTAAGCTTTTAACATATGTTGACATTTGACCCCTGACTAGCACTTAAAGTTGACCTTTGACCTCACTACTGTAATAAAGAAAAAGATTTGTACTATTGGTCTACATAACATACTCGAGTATCATGACTAGTCCAAATGGTTTGAAGAATATTGTTGTTTGAAGTTTTTAACATATTTGACCCCTGTGACCATGACATTAGGTCAAGATCATTTTAATGAGGAAACTTTATAGCACTCTATCCCAGGTACCTACTGGCCAAATATCATGATCCTAGGTCCTCCAGTTCTTCTTCAGAAGTCGTTCAAAAGAAAAGGTTGACAGACACCGCAGTTTGGCATAAGCTCAGCTAAAAACTATTCAAATGAATTATTTTGCTATTGAGAATTATACCCTCTCCCCAAGGGAGAGCAGATGACCTGGGGGATAATGAAATTTACAATTTAGGTAATGGTAATTTAGGTAAGGATCTTTCTATCCATGAACAGTAAAAAGTAAAAGTCGCAAAGTATATAAAGCTCCCCCGACAGAATTTTCATCCATGCACAGAATTTGATTGTACTACATCCAAGTCTGAAGAAGATTTTTAAAATATTGGTAAATTTTCCCTTTGGTGCCCCGCCATGGCCCCTGGGGGTTGGGGTAGGAATCCCAATTTTACAATTTAATACCATCTTCCTCCAAGGATGATTCTCACCAAGAATAACTTCCTACTGAAAATGAACAAAATATACCCAAAAGTGTTATTTCCCTATATAAACTATAGTAAACTGTACCAACTCCCCAAAAGAGAACGGATGGCCCTGGGGTACTGAAATTTATAATTTAAACAAAGCCCCTGATGATCTTTTCATACATGCAGAGAAATTGACTGTAGTACCTCTGATTCTGGAGAAGAAGATTTTAGAAACATTGGTTTACTTTCCCTTTGGGGCCCTCCTCCCCCCTGGCCCCTGTGGATCGGGGCAGGAATCCCAATTTTACAATTTGATACCATCTTCCTCCAAGGATGATTCTCACTAAGTAAGAATAATTTCCTACTGAAAATGAACAAAATATACCAAAAAGTGTTATTCCCCTACATAAACTCTAGTAAACTTAACTCCCTCCCCAAGGGAGAACGGATGGCCCGGGGGTACTGAAATTTACAATTTAAATAAAGCCCCTTATGATCTTTCTATACATGCAGAGAAATTTACTGTAATACCTCCGAGTCTGGAGAAGAAGATTTTTGAAATATTGGTTAATTTTCCCTTTGGGGCCTCGCTCTTGCCCCAGGGGTTGGGGTAGGTATCCCAATGTTACAATTGTGTAGCCTCGTCTACCAAGGATGATTCTGACCAAGTTTGAAAAAATTCCATCCACTGGTTCTTGAGAATAAGTCGAAAATGTAAAAAGTTCACGCATGACGACGGACGGAAAGCAATCAGAATAGGTCACTTGAGCAAAGCTCAGGTAACCTATACCAGGTGTGAAATACAGCAAATTCAGATAAACAGAATATAGGAAGGTCAAATATAAAGGTCAAAAGTTCACTTGGTCAAAATTTTCTGAAATTCAAATGCAAATTAATATTTTTTTCTCATTATCACATTCTCAAACTTGCATCATGAAAGATGTTCATAACATACAACACAAACATCAGTATCCTTCATATCAACATTTTATTTATTTCACATTTCATAACAAACAAATTACATAGCTACATACATGTGTGTATATATACAAGATATACACATCACATCATCAGTTAAGTCCTTGACAACTCTTGTGTTCAACATTTCTTATTTTAATCACAAAAGGCTTTAAAGATTATTCAGATCTTCAGGAAATTAATTTTTGAGTGATCACATGTATCATCTTTTACTTTTAAATAATAGATTTGCACTGAAATGCAACAATTTTTTGTCATTTCTTAATTAACAGGTTTAAGTGTAAATTATTATTCAGATGGATTAAATACTTTTGAACAAAAGAGTTTGAACGTATACAGAATTCTAGTGAAATTGCACAAATAGACAGTCTTTGAAAAAACGCAGATGATGTTTCCTGTGTCAAACAATCGGCATCAGAGGACCATGTTTGTCCATTAAATCCTAAGCTAATTTGTGTTGCCAGTGGTTTGTGGTATCCGCTGTTTGCGTTCAGCCTCCATAGATTTAGCCTTTGTCCATAGATTTTGTGAGGGGCATGTCTGTAGGTGGCTGATTGATAGCAACCTGAAACAGCAGTGAAAATAAGAATCTCATGATCTCTGGACTTGATACAAAAATTGTTTTATTTGGAAAAATCAGATCTGACACTCGAGATTCACAAAGTGTTAGAAAGAGAGAAAAAGAGAAAGAGCTATCTGAATGTAAGTTGATTTTATCGTAATATTGTTTGTGCTGCATATTTAACACATGTACATATAATAAGATATGAAATTGGAAGCAGAAAAGCAATAATTTCACCATAGACCACCAACCTTTCTTCTGCCAAAAGAAAAAGAAACCCAACTCCATCAGTTTGACCTACATTGCAATTTAAAACCCTGTTAAATTACCTTTAAACAGGAAAATAGAGCTGGTTGATAGGTTGATAGATGTTTAGTATTCAAACAATGTAGCTAGACTCACCGGATTAAATTCAAGAGTTTATGGAAATCGTCTATGGTCATATTCTTTGGGTCGTCTTTCCTGATGTTAACAAAATCATCCTGAATAGCCTGTAAAATCAGTGTTATAAATTATAGTAGTTGAAATAATAATTTCTGTTTTATGTCTCTCTGGAAGATTTCTTTTCTTGGCCTTTTGTTTGCATCAAATATCTATTTTACTTCTTGTAATGTAATGTATTAAATGCAACAAGACAAAATTCAGGAGCATCATGTTTTTTATGCTGCATAAAGAAACAGTTAACCCTACTGTTTACAAACTACACTAAATCATTCAATAACAGCATATCACCCAATTTGGCAGCAAGATGACACTATATAGCACCCTGAAAGATAGAGTTTTTGGTCAATACAAATTTCACTAATCATAAGATATGTAGAAATAAACCAGAAACGAGCAAGGATTAACCCATTCACCCCTATGTAACTTTAGTAGACTCATCCATGTATTGATTTGGCAGATTCCATTATGGTCTACAGTGATGAAAGGGTTAACAGAGTTATTGAGGACACATTACTTCACATAGCTAACTGAAGAATACCGTAGCTTAAGTGAAGGTCGGATTTTAATGTGTAATGATAATTACATACCGGAGGTCGGATTTTAATGTGTAATGATAATTACATACCGTTTGTATGTCCCCTGTTATACTGTAGTCCAACATCTTGGCTGTGGTCAGATATAATCGGAACTTGTTGAGGAACTCGGCATTCACTAAAGTATCAACCCTGGAGAAGTAGTCCTGTAGACTTACACCAGCTGGTATACTGGCAGCCAGAGGTACTAAACAGTCACTCTGAAATATACAACGTCCTTAGTCAGTGATTTATGGCTAGTGATATGAACCATTTTACAAACATTAACCTTTTTGAGGTTGATGTAATGATTTGTCGATCTGAGGAGGAGGATATTCTCAGTCAGACGCTGCAGTTCAATAAATTGGAGTTTTATTGTTCAATAGCACAAAAAAGGTTGAACACATTCAAGTGCCTGCATTGCATTTACCATAATAAATAATGCAAGGTGATAAGGTATTTTCCTGGTAAATAAAATAATTTGGAAAATTCCAAAGTAAGTAAACAAGTATCCTGCAATACTACCACTTAACATGACATAACTAAAGACACTTAATTCTATTGGCAGAAATCAGTTATAGGTTACAGCAGTAATATCATTTGCTCTTAAGACTCCCAGACAATAATCAGCACCCTTCTCAGTGCAGCAGGTGCTCAAAAGTGGAGATGATCATTTCCACATTATTGTAGTACAGATTTGACTTGAAGACAGCTTTAACTACAGGTAGTCAGGGATTAACTGTGAGAGAGCTTGCTTACAGGTAGTAGGGATTTTGCCTCAGAGAGCACAAGAACAGCCACATCAGACATGAACTCCTGTCGGTGGTAACTGAAGTCATACTCCACTTTCTGCCAGTTAATCAAGTTACCAAGAGCTGTCATGTTCTTCACACCTGCAAAAATATCCAACAGTTATTTAGATATTACCAACGTAAAATTTCATTAAGGACTATTCTACGGTGTATTGATACGGTGTGTATTATATCATATGCCGTACCAGGTATTGAATCTACTAATTCTTTGTTATGTCAATTAGTTACTATTCTTGTAATCAAAATGCTTTAATAATAAATTATATAATGATAGAGAAAAAGAATGATACTGCAACAAAAACTTACGTTTAGAATGGAACTGATTCATGTTAAAAAAAAAATATTCTGATATGTTATGTATCAAGCATTTTGTATCAAGTCCAAGCTCTACCAAAGAGTTTGAAATCGATAAAAAACATACATTAATGTTCCAAATGGAGGAAGCATTGTTCCAGAGTGTGTCCGAAAGGTCAAATACTTAAATATTTTCTTGTTTTACCAGGTTATTTACTTTTCTTCAGATCTCTGAACCACACAAGCACCAAATGTCACTAGAAGTATACCATTAGCATCCAGTTGTCCAGCCTGAAGCACTGTTTCATCCAGTACAAGTGAGGTATCCGCCCCCAGCTGCAGCGCGCCACTCAATAGACGGTTGGCCGTGTAATCCTTTTGGGGACACAGACGTATCTTGTTCATGTTCTCTATGGTGATAGGAAGAACGTGGCTCTGAAAGATCAAGGTGAATCCTTTCAATCAACATTCTGATCTTCAGTACAATTTGCACCGTTTTCTCTGAATTATTGTTGGACTTGAATGCACAAGCTCATAAACTGGACATACTCAGACTAACAATTGAAAATCATTGACCAATAGTGTCATTGCTACTCTGAATATGAAGTTTGGCTCAATTGTTCCCGGCAGAATGTCCTGTGAACTACTTTTCAAAAAAAAAAAGTCATCAGACAGTTCAAGTCTAAAGGTAGCATTTTTAGCAAGTTAAAAGGTAAAAATAGTCAGAATATTTCTTTGATCGATGCAAGAAACAAATCGCGATTTTATTTTTTTAATCTTAAATTCTAACATGTATCAAATAGTCCCTCCAAACTCCTGAGCAATATGTCTGGTTATGTACCATATAAGGCCTAATCTGCCGTACCTTAGTGACAATGGAAGAGACAAATCTGTGCAGCAATGCTGAGTACTCTGGTGTTGTAGGACAGTTGGTCAAGTTCAAACAGAACTTACCCAGGGGAATCACATCAGCTCTAGCATATCTGATAATTAAACACATTAACCCACTTCAAACGATTAAAACTACTAACATACATCTGACATTTAATTTGTAGTTGAATACCCATGCTGGGGTGTAAAAATATACAAAGTCCATAAATATAGTCAAATTTATATCTTTAGTGGTATACATAACAGATTGGCTTATGAACGATGTTGAAGGGGGGATTAATGGATAATGAACACTATCTACGAATAAAGGATCAACAACATACCATGCCAACATGTACATCTTCTTACTTCTAACATGAATGTTTGTTTTGTGATACTAGCAGTGTCGTTTTAGTTGCACTGTTAACCAACACCAGACGATGGGAGATGAAGACTTACACAGATGATAGGAGATGACACATGAAATACTCAGCAGCTAGTTTATCACCGAACAGTATATGTTCCAGAGTAGCCATGATCTGTTGGCGCAAATCAGTTATCTCCCCTTGTAACCTTGACAAAACTGAAAAAAAATCAACAGTTAAATTTCATTCAAAGGTATTTAGTTTGAAATATGAATAATAGAATGGAATCAGCTCAAATCTGATGATTGATGAAAAAATTTAACTGGCTGATACAATAGATGAACTAATGATTGAATGAAAAGTCTGTTCACAAAATAACTAAAATTCCTCATTTCCAAGGATACCAGAGTAGACATCTGCTTTTAGCCATTTCATTTTCTTATATACTTTTCCTGAGATTATATATAACTGTTGATATATTTGTATGAACCAGAACTCTGACTTGAGAAAATCAGTAAAAGCAAGGAAGCCTCTGACTCAAAACACCTAGATATTAGTAACAAAAGGTTCTGATAATATGTCGGAGTAAAGCTGTTGTCTACACACCTTCCTTGAAGCCATCCTCCTGCGCTGTTGTTGGGGTTAGTAGAGGGTTAATGTGAGGCAGCTTTGTGCCCAGGACAACATGTAGGCGTGGCACCAGGGAAGGGGGCGGGGCATGTGCATTCTTCTCCTCCATAGATACCTCAAACCCATCTGTACATACTCCACCCTCTGGGCTGTAAAGTAAAGTGATTTGTTTTAAACTTCAATCCTGTATGGTATTCATTTTAATTTGCTTTGGACTTTAAAAAATTATTTTCTAATGTTATAAATATTGGGAGCAGCACTCTACAGCACAATGATTGTTAATATTCTTGTGTTTTTGCAGATGGATGATTTATCAGCAGGAATACTACATAACATTATACATGTACATAAAAATACTTGGTAACATTCAATACACAATAATTCCACTTACAAAGTACAGCCCTTAGATAAACCTATCAACCAAAATTGTTGTTATAAATCAATAACAGCAAGAACTATTACACATGAATGTTTCCCAATCACAAACTATTTGGGGCGTTCATCATAATCTATGTTACAGTGATAGGGGACCAATATCACAGAAATTCTTGAATGCTTTCTGATCGACAATTGTCACTTGTTGGAACTGGAAACCATAGAAAACAACTTTGTTTCAGCTAAAAATAGGCTGTTTCACCATTTGGAAAAAATGTATCATGGATGAAAGAAATCACATGGAAAGATGAAATTCAATCGTTTTGTTGTTTGATGTAAATATAAGAATTAAAATTCATCTTTTCAATGTTAATCATGGTATTCAACACTATTCCTTTCATATATATTTCAAGATGCTTCATACTTTTTTTCAAAGAATTTGAAATGAATCTGTGTAAATAATGAGGCCTGTACATGTATGTTTTACAGTCGGTCACAAATATCTTACCCTTGGTCCTCTGCTTCAAATTGTGCCAGTGACGGATCTACAGACAACACGCCAACAAACTCCACCAGATCATTGACACAGTAACTATCAATGTCATCATATATCTGGAGACAGAATGGATGAAGCATTGACACTATAACACAAATACAGTTCCAGTTTCATTACCCAACCAGGGAAACCATTACAAATTAAACACCACATATGTGGTCCACTGATTTTTGTTCAAAATAAATAACATGGATTTAAATTACTTACAAACATTGTTTTGTTAATACAGGTTTTTGGTGCTATACAGGTTTCAGAAGAAACAGGTTACACTTTATTAGCCTGAACTCTTATAAGACAAGATCACAAACATGCAGCTGAAATGAGAAAATATACAGTTACTTTAAGTTCATGTTCCACTTGGTATGATCAATTTATATTATGAAACAGGAAGAAGACTGTTAAATACCTTTATCAGACAGGATATTCCCTTCTCCTTTGGTAAAGGGAAGTTCAGGTCCGGTAACACTGGGCTGGTTTCAGCTAAAGAAATAAAAAGTAAAATATTTTCAATAACTTTTACAAAATGATGCAACATGTGATATGTTACAAAAGACTTTGTTAAATCTTTTTCAATGCAGGGGATGACATGAACAACCTAATTGATTTAGGTTTTTTCACATGGACGAATGAAATTTGAATACATTATCCTGGATGGACAAAGTCAGATAACAAAGATAACATTTCCATTCCAATGTTTAAGTCGTTACCTGCTCTGTTGTTGACACAAGTTCTCTTATTTTCGGAATTCTCCGACACTTGGGTAGTTTCCATGGTAACGTCCTTGAGAGGATCAGCTGTTTCCATGGCCTCACTTTGACCAATGACTTCTGACCCTTCCTCCTCCAGACCTCGCTTACAACGAACCGGTGTGTAGGAAGTAGATGGATGGACCTTGACCCCTGCACGGTCAGTATGACCTTGAACTTTGTTAAGAAAGTTTCCACCAGACATTTCACTTAATGCATAAAAACTTGAACTCATTACACATTTATGTAGCTCTAAGTGGTTATGTGTTTTTATCTAATTTCCGATACTTTCCAAGTAACGTTTGATTGATGCTCTCCCTATCCCCTAGTCTGGCTAAAGACGCTTGGAAAGTAAGATATTGGGATGACCCCCTATTTCATTTCTAGCAAAACCTAGATATCAGAAAAGTCTTCGTGGCCTCGAGGAAATTTCTCAGTATAGCTTTTCGGGAGCTGGACATTTAGATACTGTTCGAAGCTGGACTTTCATCGTCCATCACTCCTTATACAGTACATGTAAAGCTTCATTTTTGTCACAAATAAACACCTATCCCTCAACTTTCTGATGTGTTTTTATCAATTCCAATAATCGACCTTCCCCTGTTTTGGTTTTATCATCTGTTTTAATTATCGCACAGTCTATTATTAGAACTAATATGGTAAGTTATTTAATTTTATGCAGGAGTAGTAAATATACCCAGCAGATACATATTACCTCATTAAGGTTATCTTTTTCTAGCTGAAACCCTAAAACCCCAGATAACTTGATAACATTCCTTGTCTATACAAAGAATTGGTATACATATTTTCAGTAACTTTTGAAGGGTGAACTTGGTTTCCCTATATTTGCTGTATTTTTCCCAAATCAATGCATATTGATTTTTGTATGCGATATTTTTACAAGTCACATGCCACAGGCCCCTGTGAAAAAGGGCTAGAAAAATCACTGATTATATAATCATACAGTTATAATTATGTTTAGGGGTTCAATTGAAGTCATAAAATGAAAATATCAGATTTAAAGTAATATCTTACTGTCAAAGATTTTATCAGATAGAATCATGTAAGTAGCTGTTATAAAAGGATATTGCTTTGACCCAGGCCGACTCTCCAGGTATCGGAACACCATACAGGGTCTGTCTATCCATTGTCTTGTTATTTGCAGATTCCATATTGATCTGTTGAAAACTCTATAAAAGATAGAAAGTTTGATCACATTCTGGCTTTCAAACTTTAAAACATATACTTGTATTTGTAAAAGGGACCAGTAATATAAGCTCTTTAAAAAGATCTTGATTTGAATAAATTGAATAATTTTTAAAGTAGCCATACGGAAAAGTTCTTCTTCCGATTTTTTCTCTTTGAGGCTTCTAGCTCATGGAAATAAAATATGAAATTCAAGTCTAAAAAGGTCTGAAATAAAAGACATGTTTTCAGAAGCATGACTGCAGAAAAAGAATAAGGTTAGGTAAGTCAGAATTCTTTTTATTTCCCTTTTTACAAAGGTTAAGTACTACAGAATGAAATCTTACTTGAGTTACCATATAATTTCTTTCTTGAAAAAGCCAATAAAAACTGTAGGGTCGGCACAAAAGCATTATATAGAATGGGTTCGTTTTAATAGCGGAACTAACATCAATTCCGGTTTTCATAAAGATTTTCAGACTCACTGCACATTCTGCTATATCTTTGTATTTCCCAGACTTCATGGTCGTCTTTTCCGTCTTTGTGTCAACAACCTCATACGACCCTAAATAGAATTCTGGGTCATACATGTCCTGTACCATACATCTGTAGCGTACGAGCGAGTTAGGTCGCAGTGTATGAAGAGGGGTGTCATTCAAGCTTGGAATCTGTATAAATAAGAGTCATTGGTAGTCCATGTCGATCCATGTTGGTATTGACTGATGCATGTACAATGAATATACAGTTTAGATTCATTCAATCAAAGAAGAAAACTTAAACAACAGGTAACAACTGGTCTAGTACAATCTCAAGTGTTGGCATTTGGCCCTTTTAAAAGATTGGTCTAATGCTGAGAAACGGGCAGTTATAAATAAAAGTATAGGAATGATGTCCCTGTAATTCTTAAATTTCTATTTCTAATATGGACTTCATGCATATGGAGATAATTTGTTTGTTTAAATTAACAGCCCATGATCATACAACAAGGTCACTTATATATAGCCATTACATGGTAAATGTGATCAGTGACCATTTAGCAGTGTTTTTACTACTTGAATTTGGAATATATTGAAATTAAGATTATATTCCTCAATTATTTTCTTCATTTCGGGAAAATACAGCACTTGTTTATGATTAGGGCAAGTAGCCTGTTTTGGATGTTATGTATATATATAATTCAGTTCAGGCTGTAGGGAAAATACTTTTGAAACCAGGAAAACAAGGGGTTTATCATGAGGTTTTGGTAAACATGAGAGGAACTTGGGAAAAAATGTCAAAATTAACACCATTTGGAGAAAGTTAGATGATCATGAAAACAGCTCTGAATATGTGATATTAGACTGTTTTAATGAATATCTATTTAAGTCGATTTTTTATGAAAACTATATTACCATTCAGTCCTTCCTACAGTGTACATGACGTGCTGCATGTCAAGAACTCTGTCAATAGTGAGGAATTAATTTAAATAAATGCTGCTTTTTTTTTAATTTCCAGACTGGGAATCTAAGGGGAAAATTGGGAAAAAAATGTTCTTTTTTCAATTGGTAACGGGCCCTTAAAACAGACCTGAAAAGTACCCTGATAAACCCCAGGTGACAGCTGAGGACAGTTTTGACAAAAAGAAACACTAATCTGTGACTAAATGGGTGCAGTGGTGTTTTACTTGAAACAAATAAAACAGTTATCGATAATATTTAACGTAGGTATTATGTCATATCAGATTTAGTTTATTTAGTTTGTGAGTTCCTAAAAAACACTTAATTTACTTACCCATGACATTGCATTGCCTTTAGTTCTGGCACCGAAATAGTCTCTTACCGCTTTACCTTCCACCTTTCCATCTTTATCTGAAAACATTCAAATTCAGATCTCAACAATGAACATTAACATGCTGCTTGTGGGAATAAAAGACATCACATCACGCAAACAAAAACATCAGGACACAGTCCTACATCATCCTAGTAAACATGTACAATATGTTCCTATAATATAGCAACGAAGTCCGAAATAACCCGAAAACAGAGACATATAAAGCTGTAGTATATAATATATACTTCTCTGTCGAAACTGACTACGCCTATATCTTTTAAAAACTTCTTAATGAGTCAATCAAAAAAAGTTAAAAGGATATACGCCTAGTCTCAAGTCTGTTATTTCGGACTATTAACACCGCTAATCAGCTGATAATTATACCATTGACTTGGGTAATAATACCGTGGTTATACGTTTGCAACAGTTCAATAACATAGGTTAATGGTTCAATTGATCAATTTAAATCTGGTCTCCTAAACAAGGAGACCTCGGATATAAATTGATAAATTGACTTGTGCCCCGACCCCCTGTGCCCCTGTGGTTAGTGGCTACCATTGCATGCATTGGCAAAATATATTTGTTCTCGGTGGTTATCGCAAGTCGTACAACAAGAACATTTTGTAGCTATTGATAACTTACCATATATATTTTGAATGATTCCAAGTGGATCATTTACCCAATCATCAACAACTGGCATTTTGTATAAGATTGATCCTAAAATGTCAACAAAACAACGTGGTAGTGAAATATGGCGGGAAATTATCTCTTTAGGCGAACTTGTTTCGGATGTGCCGGTGCCCGCGTTAGCCCAAAATATCATCGAACTTCCGGTAAGGATTCTCTTTCAGATGTGGTGTCAGACGATTCGCCCCAAAACCGAAACCCCATGACGCCCCAACCAATTCGCCCCAAAAATCCTTAACACTAACTATTTCGCCCGTAAAAACTACAACGCCCAAAAAATATCTTTCACTAAAGTAACTTATTTGACATTTTTTAAAGTGAAACATCTACGTTTTATTATATGTAATATGCGTAAAGATAGAAAATAAACAAATAATATCTGTTGCAATTCGTTTGATGTTTAATTAGGACATAATTCTTGTGTCGTAGATCGAAGACTTGCCATATCTATACTATAATAGTATGTACATGTATGTAAGGCATGCATTTGTATATTTCAGATAATATAATAAGTGTTAAAGATGATTAGATTGTATACACGCGTACCGTCGATCGAAAAACTAACAAAATCCATTTTATTATGTGTATTGCCACGGAATTAGATTATCTAAGTCCGTGGTGTTGCAAAAGAGAGTGTGTACTATATTTTTATACTATGAGATCTAATTCTTTTTCCACATAAGTATTATTTTTATTTTTCATTAACAAATAAAAACAAATAACTATAAAAAATCAATCGTGTTCTGCGAAGTTACAGATTTCAGATTTTTTATTTCTCTCAGACATACAAAGTATGTTACAAGAGGTCAATATGTATCATATTCATATATACATGGCGGATAACAAAGGCATAAAGGCTACAAACTAATTACATACATTCAATAGCTTTTCAAGTTTTTCTAGAAATTTGCTAACATTTTTTAAAACTTTTACATTGCATATAGTAAATAGTCCACGCATTTTAATAAGGCTAGGGTTAGTATAGTAGTAATTTGGAATAAATAGTTGTCTTATTTGTTTAACAGATACATGTTCGCACTTAAATAGATAATGATATTCATCACCAATTTCATTAAAACAAAGATTACAAGTTCTGTTTTCTTTGGGTATTCCAATCCATCTTCCAGTTTCTATAGGTAAGTGCATATTTGAAGTTCTAAACTTAAAAATAATTTGTCTTTCTTTTGGCTTTAGTTTCACAAAGTAATTTTCAAGTTCAAAATTTGTTTTAAAATTGGAATAGGTACATTCTACCGGAGACGTATATATGTAATATTTCAAACCAACTTGGGGTAAGAACAGCTGATGAAGCCCGGGCCAAAATGCTTATTATGTAATGGCACATAATTCAGCATATCTTTCATTTTTCACAAATTGACTGACGATCTCTTTCACCAATACGCAAACTGATAACTTATCCAAAACAAATGTTTTATAAGCCATTAAATGAAAATTGAAACAAAAATTAATGCCAATCGAGTGAAGATAATTACCGACACTTTCATACGATCATAACTCGTTCAATATAGGTTCGTATCGGTTGTGGCGATTAAGAATTTTGGGGCGAAACGGATTTTGGGGCGTTATGGTTGTCATACTTGGGCCGAAGAAATGAACTGAAAAACGGGTTGGGGCGAAATGGTCTCGGGCGAAACGTCTGTCATTCAGAATTGAGCGATCGACCCAGTCCAGTTCCGGTACATTCCTCCTTCTTTTTCTTCGCCCCCAAAGACATTACTATTTACAACCCCAGCCTGTATCCCCTTGCCGAACATCCACACAGTACTTGAAACCAGAGTTGGTATCAGGCATCAGTATAACAGATGAGGAAAAATACACGCCCAGAATGATATTGGAACCTGGGACTTCCGAATTTTACACCGGCGAGCGATCCAGTCCAGTTCCAGTTATTGTCCAGTACTGTTTTACTTACTTCTATATACCTACTGTTCTAACTTCTCCCTGTATGCTGGTATACCGACCGTGTAACTTTCCTGCATACCAATAAACTACCAGTGCTACCTAACAGATGGGTTGCAGGGGTGGATACAGGGATTTGAAAGGAGTCGCCAATTTTTTTTTAAGCCTATGTATACTGATCGTCGAAGACGCAAAGGACGGGGAGTCCCGGAGAAACATACCAACCCCTTTCCGTTAAAATGAAACTTCGAAGCGGTCTGGAGCAATCTCGGGCATTATAACAGTGTGATTTAACTTTATAATCTGATAAAAAAAAAATGTTTCATTTGCTTTTAAGCATTCTGTATGATTTTTAAAAGAGGGACTGCAGAATGTAGCGAGTCATTTTTATTTTTTTCATTAGATTTTTGTACCCTATTTCCTTACAATAATGTACTTAAAAAAAAACTTTTTTTTAAACTTGTGCACGATCCTATTGCTGAAAAAATTAAAAAAAACAATGAAATATGTTTAAACTAATAATGTACTTTGAAAAGTATGTATCGAAGTGTAGTGAGATACAGAAATGTAGAAGCTTTGGGTTTGAATTTTAGTGTGCTTTGGAATGATCTTAGAAAAAAGAAATGGGTTTTCTGTGACCTTTTGTTATTTAATCAAATGAAAAAATCACTATTGATTAGTCTGAATCCAAGAAACAAGAGAGCGGAGGCAGGGATTTTTTTTCTTAAGTTGTAAACCACGAAAACCAATATTTTTTCAGTTGAAATTACAATGTTTAATTAATAGGGTAAGACCCGAAATCAAATATTCGATGGCTTAAAAATGGGGGTTGAGATTATGTGATTTTGATTTAAACATGTTTGATAGCCTTTTTTAATTAACATTCGGCACAAGTTTAACAACTAACAGAAGCCCTTTCCTACAATATTACTATTAGTTTTTAACTACAATTCAAGATGGCAAAATAGCATATGATAAACTACGTTTTATCACGGATCTAAGTCCGTGGTTTTATAATAGACCCACTCACATACACTTACTCCAAGCACGTACACACGCATTCACATATACTTTCAGGTATGAGGGGGGAGGAAGGGAGAGTGGGGAAGTAACTAATATCGCATTTTGAGATGGTAAGAACGGTCTTTCCCAACACAATCGCCTCCAGCATTATCTTTGCACTCTTTCCATACACTCAAATTTGTGGATCAACATGAAAGTGAGCCTGGTGTCCAGCTACCTAAGCAACAGGTGTCAGCAGGTGAAACTGGCACCTGGTCAGGTATTCTTAAAGGGGTTCCCCGGGGTTCTATCCTGGGCCCCCTTCTTTTCAACATATTTATAAATGATATTTTTGATTGTGTGGAAGATTCATCTCGACAACTATGCAGATGACAACACTATAGGTTACAACCATAAGGATCTTACTGTCTTAAAATCCATTTAGAAAAAGATTGTACTAAGGTTATTGATTGGTTTAGTAAAAATGATAGGAAAGCCAATCCTGAAAAGTTCCAGGCAATCAGCATTGGAAAACGAACGTTTGATAACATCAAATCTTTTGATGTTGGAGGTGTCAAATTACTAGGTGTAAATTTTGATTACTTATTGAACTTTGACTATCACATCTCAGAGCTCTGTAAAAAAAGCCTCCAGACAGTTATCTGTACTGTATAGGATAGGTACATTTTTGTCTAGGGAAGGGAGACAAATTATTTACAACTCTTTCATTGTTTCAAGTTTTAACTATTGCCCTCTTGTTTGGCATTTCTATCCAGTAAAAAGTGTACGGAAAATGGAGAAAAAAAATCAAGAAAGATCACTACGTTTTGGATATAATGATTTCTCGTCTTCCTTTGAACTTTTAGTCCAAAAATAAAACTCTGATTTATTACATATAAGACGTTTGAGAGACATGGCCTGTGCAGTCTACAAATAATAATTAATAGTCAAGAAAATCTCTCCACGCTTTATCCAAGATATGATTGAAATAAAGGTAACTAATTATAATTGCAAACAAGAGAATACAGCTGTATTACCTCAGGTCAACACTACAAGGTATGGACTCAAAATTTTTCTCCTACGAGGCCGCCCGGGTATGGAACAGTCTCCCCAATCAACTCAGAAAAGTAGACAGGTACAATGAATTTAGGAGACTGGTCCAGACCTTGGATGGCCCCATTTGCTCTATTAATATCTGCCGCGGTGTGTAGTACTTGTACATGTGGCTAGTCCGCTTTGGTTTTGTTTAGTTTTGTGTGTTTTTTATGTGTCTTGTAAATGTGTTTTATATATAGTGCTGATAATGGAAAATTGCATTTCATAATAACTGTTCGTTATGTGTATGTGCTTTGCTTCAATGCTAACTTTGCATGGAGCCTTATGTTTTAACACTTTCTTTGTTTCATAATGTTTTATACATGTAATTGTTTGATTTGATGCTTTTTACTTATGTTTGTCGGAATAATAGCTTTTAATAGCTAATGTTAAATGGGTTTTTTTTAATATCCGACGTTAAATAAAGTTTATTGTACTATTGTATTGTAACATTTCATCAATTAAAGCAACATTTTCTTTTGTATGACAGTCATCCTTTAAATACGTGTCGAATGACAAATTAACAGTAGCATTAGACTACTCCACATCCTGATGCGTGCCGATTTTGAAACAGTGAGTCGGCAGGCTATATACAAATTCGCCCTTCTGTGGTTAGCCACCAAAATATAAAATATATTAGTCTCGTTCAACCAGACGCTTAATCACTTGTAATTGCTCAGACAACAAGTGTCTGGTTGTACGAGACTAAAAATATATTTATGCATACATCGTTTTTCTCATCAAGCACCTTTAGTTTTGTTAATATATGACTTAAATTTTAATCTTTTTAAATATCAATGGAAGGTATGAAAGCTGTAGTCAAGATATCAGATCATTCTAATAGAATATTCTGGTAGGTTCACGAGAAATCTAAAAATAGCAAAAGGGTTATTTCCCAGTAAGACCACGTCGGCATGATTTCACTTCCGGTGGTTCGTCCAATCAAAAGCTATCTTTGCTATCGTTCCACAACTTTACGAAGTTAGTAAACACTGGCCACGAATTGTAGTTGTTTTGGATAGGAGTGTACGTCAGTCTTGGCACCATCAATGTTCTATTGTATCGGGGTACCTAGATGGGTAGAAGGAGAAATAAGAGATTGACTACTTTGTTGGCATGGTTTGTCACGTCTGTTGGAGCACTTTGTTACACATTCAGTTGCATAGGCGCAACAGACACCGACCCCATTATTGTGGACGGATTTGCAGATAACAACAATGCATTTGCCACCAATAATTACCAGGAGCCTGTGTCTGACTCATCCGCACAGACAGCAGCTTGTCCGTCCAAACCACGCAAGGAAAGGTGAATTCAGTCAAGCGTAATGACACAATCTTGCAAATTTGCTGTACTGTAACGTTATTCACTTATTTCATAACAAAAATCGCAAGGGTTTGATTACTGGAATGTAGTGCCTTTAATATAAATAAATCAATTCGTAGGAAAATCGTTAGCCTTTTAAATTATCTAGACATTGTGACATTGATTATATGCTAACTACATGTAAGAATGATTATCTGCATTGGGGGGAGAGGGTAGAGTTATGAAGTTATTCGAGTAAATGATGTATATGTATTTGGAGAAAAACTGAAAATTAACACATCCATGTAACATGTAACGGTCATGTAAGTAACTGTAACTGACCTTACACATGCACTCACCCTTGAGTGTCTAGGGAGGTTTTTGCGCGCCCAGGTATTGTCTGTGAAACCTGTGATCAGTGGCACCATATGTGGACTGCCAGAATGTCTCTCTATATATAGTAACACATACCACAACTGGAATGACAGTATGGTGAACTGGCATTACCTGATATGCAATCAACCCAATTGCAGCTTTGCTACTTTCAACTTATATGATATTATTATTACGTCCAATCAGTTTGAAAGCCTGTCTCAGCAGTGTACAAGTGGTGAAAGCGACAGCCCCATTAATATTACACCAAGCAAAATTAGACCCATACACTCATCCACTCCCATACGCAGACTTAAAAAATATACTTGTTCTAGGGAGTAACCACTACAGATTTTTAATGTAAACTTCCAATCTATGAAAAATAAATAACATCTTGTACATAACCTTATTCAGAGTACTTTACCTGATATTATCATCGGTACTGAAACTTGGTTAAAACCCAACATCCATAGTAATGAAGTCATTCCATCAGACTATAGAGTTTTTCGAAAGGATAGAGAAAATAGTGAAGGTGGAGGAGTCCTTATTGCAATTAAAACTGTATACATAAGTGACTCTGTAGAAGACCTTAACCCACCTGAAGAGTGTGAAATTATTTGGGCAAAGATAGAAGTCGTTGGAAATAAGACACTGTACATATGTTCTTATTATAAACCAAAAACAAACAATGAAGTGCAAAAATGTTTGATCTTTCCTTGAGGCGAGCCCCCCAGCTTCAGAACTTCACACTTGTCATCTGAGGCGAATTCAACTTACCTGGTTGGGACTGGGAGAATAAATTTCTCTAAATTTCACTATGACTTTGGAAAACTGCTTGATGATACTGGGCTAACACAACTGGTCACGTTTCCTACCCGTAATAACAAAACATTAGATCTCATAATTACAAATACCCCAAACCAAGTACAGAGAATTGAGGCAATTCCTGGTTTATCTGACCATGATATTGTGTTCCTCCAAATTTCCAGTGTTCCCCACAAAATTAACCAAAAACCCAGAGAAATACCCTTGTATAAAACGGCCAATTGGAATTCCATGAAAAGTGAACTCCACAACTTCTATCTAGAGATCTCGACCAATAAAGTCCTAACTGTAGAGGGATTATGGGAAGCATTCAAACTATTCTTTACTATGCAAAAAAGTCTGGTGATCCATCAATTAAAGGAAAATTCAAATCACTGAAACATCTTATCCAAAAACTATTAAGACAGGCCTACTGGAAATATATTGAAGACATAGTCAGTCCAAATTCAGATTCCTCAGACCATAAACCTATGAAAAGGTTCTGGACATATATAAAACATCAAACAACTGATTACAGTGGTGTAGGGGCACTGAAACAAAATGGTAAACTCCATACAGATCCTGTGGATAAGGCCAATATATTGAACAATCAGTTCCAGTCTGTGTTTTCGAGTGCTGACAACATTAGCTCAGACACATTTAAGCGGCAATACCCTATGCAGAACAACATCCCTGAGATGGGTAACATTAAAATAACACCCAATGGAATTTACGAACTTCTTCTAAATCTAGACACCTCTAAAGCTGCTGGCCCAGATCATATTAAACCGAATATACTCAAGGAACTGGCAACAGAAATCTCCCCCATTCTCTGTCTCATCTTCCAAAGGTCGTTCGTTAGATACCTGTCATGTTCCATCTGACTAGAGAACAGCTAACATTGCCCCAGTTTACAAAAAAAAGGCCAAAACTTTAACCCTGAAAACTACCGTCCCATATCTCTCACTTGTATTTGTTGTAAGTTGTTGGAACATATTATAGTAAGTAACATCACGAACCATGCTGATAACAATAACGTTCTTTACCCCTTACAACATGGTTTCAAACAATCCAGGTCATGTGAGAGTAAACCATTAGAATTTATTGATGACATCTCAAGAAATTTAGAAGATGGTAAACAGACAGATATTGATTATGGATTTTAGTAAGGCCTTTGATAAGGTGAGCCATTCTCTCCTTTTCCACAAACTTAGGGGGTATGGAATTACTGGACCAGTCAACACCTGGATTGAAAGCTTCCTAAGTGACAGAACCCAGACCGTTGTAGTAGAGGGGGAAATGTCCGATTCTGCCCCAGTAAGATAAGGGGCCCCCAAGCCTCGGGCCGAATCTTTTCTTATACTCCGTACATCAATGATATCACTGAGGGTATAACATCTTCTATGAGACTCTTTGCAGAGGATACCATCATGTATCTGACAGTAACATCTCAGAGAGACGCTCACACCCTGCAAAGAGATCTTGATAAACTGGCACTTTGGGAGACTGAATGGAGGATGGCTTTCCATCCTGAGAAGTGCCAGGTCCTCTCTGTCATCCCATCTGTCATTCCTACATACTACATGGTCACGAGTTGGAGCATGTGACAGAAGCTAAATATCTTGGGGTCACCATTACTTCTGATCTAAAGTGGAGTACTCATATCAATAACATCACAAAAACTGCCAATTTCACTCTGGGCTTCCTGAGGCGCAATCTCAAAATTTCATCCTCTAACATCAAACAAAAGGCCTATACCGGTAAGTTCCTGGTCCGCCCTCAGGTTGAAAATGCTAGCCCAGTATGGGACCCTTACTTAAAAAAAAGTTATAGACAAGCTGGAGATGTTACAGCGCAGGGCTACCTGTTTTGTTGCCAACTGCTATCGTTACACCTCCAGCATTGGCAACATGTTAGAACCCCTAAAATGGCGTAGTCTTGCAGATCGCAGGAAAGATGGGAGGCTGACCAAGCTCTATAAAATCTATCATAATAAAGTTGCCATTACTACTAAATATCTCACCCCTATAACCAGACAAACAAGGCATAGTCATCAAACCTCATTTCAAACTATCTCATGCAGGACGTCTGTAAGGAAGTAATCCTTCTTTCCTCGGACTATCAAAGATTGGAACAAACTCCCTTCGCAAATTATTTCTTCTGATTCACTACTGTCCTTCACATCATCTATCTCTGTTCATCAATATTAAGTCCTGTTCCTTTCCTTTCATAGCGCTACACCTATATATGACATGATCTTCACTATGCTGAAGTAGGTCAGAAGTAGAAGGATTTTTTTTCTTTCTTCATTTTTCATTTCATAGGACTTCTGCGCCTTCATCACTCAGATGGAGTTGTGCACACTGTGGTTATTTCATTTTACTGAATGATGCACTAAACCACAAAAGAACCACAATTCCACAAGTATATCACTTATCATGATCAGGAGGCAGTAATAATATGTTCCCAGCTGGTACTATTGTAAGTGGTAGTATAATATCATCATTCGGAGTACAACTGATCATCGTTCATATGATAAATATTGCTTGGGGAGTTATGTTGATCATTCTTCACATAAAGTGACAGTTCACCTTTTCTTATTTTCTGCATAATGTTTTTTCCTTATTTTAAAGAATACTAACTGAATTTGCATACTCAGAGCTTACAGTTGGCCCTTGACAATTAGCAATTTCAAAAGTAAAATTGAATTTTCCCTGAATTTTGAATACCCGGTAGTCAAAACATATATCTGATAGATCTTTCCTTTAAGATCAAAAAGTCAAAGCTCATTTTTGGGGAGTCAAAGACATACACTCCAGGGCCTATCGAAAGCTGTAGGCATACCGCCAAAAATACTTGACCATCTCTTTAGTGTGGTTAAATTTTCTTCATTCATAATTTAAGCATTAAACTGCATGTCATTCAGAGATAAATTCACTTAATTCTGAACAGGATTACTAATTACAAGCATGTTGAAATGATGACAAAGATGTCAAGATCATCACTCCAGATTTGTGGCCTCATAACTTACAGCTGACTTGGTAGGTTTCCGGTATTAAGTGGCCAATTGGCCATACAAAGCAAATGCAAATATCTTAAAATAAAAGGCTGCATGTGTGTATTGTATTAATGAAACCATTGATTTATTTTATGCCGAGTCTCTGATGACTGAGAATACACAAGATAATCAGTGTTTTATTTGTCCACAGTCACCTGATGATTGTGAGCACACTAGATGGGCAGGTCTCTGCTATTGACATCAGCAACAAGGGCAAGCTTGTGTGGAGTATTACTGCTGATTCCAGTCCCCTCCTTTCCTCAAGTATCAGCAAGCTAGAGGTAAGCTGTAACTGTTCAATTAACTATCTATAGAATTAGTTCTTTTAAACAATTACATCTAGTACATGTATTATATATAACAAACAACATGATATATAAGTGATATGTATGATACATATAATGAAACATAATGATTAAACTAAGTGGACATGCCTTGAATTAATGCTGAATTAACTTGGTTAAACTGTCATATAACGTTGCTTATAATACATAGCTATAAATCAGAATGTGTTATTACATAGATACAACGTAATGGAATGCCGACGCGTCTGATCCCATCATTGGACGGAGGACTGTACCAGTATGACGGTGAGAGTATTGAGGCCATCCCTATGACTGTGGAGACACTCCTCAGCTCCTCCCACAAACTCAGTGACAAGGTGATGATGGTTGGTTCTAAAGACATCAGAAATTATGGAGTCAATCCTGCAAATGGACAGGTAGGGCTAGTTTCTGATATGATCCTAGATTATAATAACATGTTCAGGTATTTTGGACAGTTTTTTTTCCTCAATCTTGAAAACTTTGAAAACGAGTGAAGTAACTAAAAAGGTAAGTTTAACTAATGAAACTTAAAAGTCTGAATATTCTTACCTGAAAAAAGTAAAGCGTTACATTAATTTATCAAAGCTCAAGACTGATTAAAGTTACTAGGCAACAAATAAACAAAGGCACTGTGTATGAAAAGGGATACAATCACTAGGCAATATAGATGTACTGTACGTAGGTACTATAATATGAGTTGTTGGGTGAGAGTACAGAAGTAATTTTTTCTCTTTAATTTGAATTCCAGATGAATTATGTTTGTTCCGCGGAAGGTTGCCAATTTAGTGCGGAGTCCGATGTGACAGAGCTGGATGACATTTTGGTGATAACACGAAACACACAGACTGTCCGTGCAGTAGACAGCAGGACGGGAGGCGAAAAGTAGGTCACAAGCCAAGTATTCGTCTTGATTGTTTTAATAAAATGAATTGAGAAAATGGACAATTCAAGGTCTCTTGCAGGAATATCTTCAGTTGAAGTTTGTCAATGAAGAAAACATTAATTTGTTGAAGATAAAACGGAAGTAATAAATAAAATAATGTGTAAATAGATATAAACTGTTATGTTTATTGGTAAGGGTTGATGTTTGATAAGGGAACAAATGAAAGGATACAGGTGAGATACACAGCATTAGTTGACTGTTTGTGATTGTAAGACTATGACTTAGCTTTAAAAAAAAAAGTGCAATAATTTTTTAAATCTTTCAAAAGTATGCTGTGTTGTTGGTTTCAGGTGGAACTTCAGTGTTGGCCAACATGAACTCCAGTTCCTGGGCGGTAAAAGCATGCCACCATCTAAGACTGTGGAGGATAAGGTTGAGGACGATGATATCTCCATCTTGACGTGTGGTCCAGATGGTAAATAACTACACTGTACTGTAAAACGTTTGCCCTGGCTAAATTGTTGGCCTTGTACAATACGCTGATTTCAACAGTGTCAGGGTGTTTTGATATATGCCATACTTTGGCTATTGAATTAAAAAATGTTATCAATATAGCTGGGTAAAAAGTTACATTTTACTGATGAGTATGGGCAGAATGGGTAAAATATGAATTGAGAATAGTACATATTCCATGTTAGATAGAGTACATTAAGTGGTTGATTAGTGTGACTGAGCTTGGAGGTTGATGGCTATTTTGACCTAGAGCTTGAATACTGTTAGCTGTTTTGACAAAGAACTGGAAGGTTGATGGCCAGTGTAGCATGGAACTCAAATAGTACTGTTACCTATATAGTGATGTAGACCTCAAATACTGTTCGCTAGTGTAACAAGGACTGCGACGGCTATTAGAGGTTCTGATTTACTTTAAACTGCCATTTGGAATCCTGGCATGGTCAAAGGTTTACAGTATATTAGAACTTCACCATAGTTTTGAAAACAATAAAATAATTTATTGTCTTTGTAATTGTTTGTTTATTTTTGTATCGCTTTTGTTTACATCTAGTTCTGTCTAATTACTAGTTGTTAGCTATAGTTTTGACAATACGTTTGTTTACAGTTAGTTCTGCCTCATTTAAACCTGTAACCCTTGATCCCTGTAGATGAAGAAGATAATGATTTCAATATCCAGGACAGCCTGCGGATTGTGGTTCCAGAGGGTGTGATAGTGGGTATGGACCCCAGTGATTCTGACTCGGTTGAATGGCAGCACAAGGTAAGTAGGAAAGAGTTAGTGGGGAAACTAAAGTGATGTGAGTGTCACATTGACTAAGATGTTTTATAATGTATACAGTTGTTTCATACCTGGTCAGCGAATAGTCCACATTATACCCCTGAGGTGTTCTTACTAAAGCCCGGGAAGTTGTTCACTAGATTACGATTGGGAGACACATTTATTCTAGACTATACTGTGATCAGGCATGAAATCACTGGTTTATGGAGGGAACACTGTCCACCCATTTTGTGTTTATATAATACTGTTAATCAGTCTCTTTTTAACAGGTGAAGACATTCTTATAGGACCATTTACATTTTCATTTATTTATCCTCTGATTTTTCAAAACATTAAAATAATTTATGACATTTGCTTTATGTCCTCGACACCAAAACTTATACCTCACTATTTAAGATGTGGTATATTTTAGTTCACCAGTCCTGTAGTTGGTGCCTGGTTCCTACATAAGAAGGAGTTGATGCCGGTGAATGTGTTTGACAAACGACTTGTACCTGCACTGGGCAGCTTTCAGCCCCCCGGAGAACAACTGCCTCAGGAACCCCTGTTATATGTAGGTCAGTATCTGAGTAATTGTCGACTTAATCCTTGAAAGTTAGGTGTTCCTATGGATTAAGAAAATAGTGCTGCCAGTCTCATTATAAAGTTGTGCTGGCAGCCTCATCATAAAGTTGTGCTGCCAGCCTCATCATAACGTTGTGCTGCCAGCCTCATCATAACGTTGTGCTGCCAGCCTCATCATAACGTTGTGCTGCCAGCCTCATCATAAAGTTATGCTTCCTGCCTCATAACATTGTGCTGCCAGCCTCATCATAAAGTTGTGCTGCCAGCCTCATCAGAACGTTGTGCTGCCAGCCTCATCATAAAGTTGTGCGGCCAGCCTCATCATAACGTTGTGCTGCCAGCCTCATCATAACGTTGTGTTGCCAGCCTCATAAGGTTGTGCTGCCAGCCTCATCAAAAAGTTGTGCTGCCAGCCCTATAACGTTGTGCTGCCAGCCTCATCATAACGTTATGCTGCCAGCCTCATCATAAAGTTGTGCTGCCAGCCTCATCATAACGTTGTGCTGCCAGCCTCATCATAAATTTGTGCTGCCAGCCTCATTTTAAAGGGAAGAAAAATGCAGTGAAAGTTAGATGGAGGTTATAAATGTTAACACTTCGTATAAGTGAAAATATTTCGAAATTAAACACAATTTAACATTCATATGTAGATACTACTGTCTTTAAAACTTTGTAAAGATTTCACTGTCAAACAAGTCTGACACATCATGATCACAGTAAAATGGATAATTCCTTGCCAGGGAACATGAATATGGCTAATAAAGGCTAAGTTTGTTTTGAACACAAATAGGAATTGAAAACTTATTTTGTGACCTTTTGAAAACGTCTGTTTCTTTTTTCAAGCAAAGGGTGTAAATGACCTGTGTCTCAACTCCAAACCGCTGAAAACAACTCGCTAAGCCACATTGTGCCAAATCAGTTAAAGTTGCCCAATAGTACTCTAATACTGCAGGCAGTCAGGGGGACTAACATGTTTACCCATTCCGCCATTTCGTGGATGTTTAAATGATGACTCAGCTGGTGGCCCCCTTCATCTCTGTTCATCGATTCCCTTTTTCTCCTTACACAGATTGTTTCTCATTTCAAATGAATATGACTGTTGTTGATAAAACATTTCAAGAAGCAAAATTGTAGTTACTAAAATAAAACAGGATTTATTGTTTAAGTATTTGATGTGGGCAGTATGTTTGTTTTAGAAGAAACCCTGAATGTATGACAGAACCATAATGATTATAAATATAAGTCCTTACTGTTAGTTAGCGTGGCAGTACTATTATAGATATGAAAACCCAGAATGTTTGTACTAGTAATAATATGCAATAAAAGATCCATGTTTTACTGTGCCTGAAACAATTATTCAACAATTCAACAAAACTAATATTAAATGTTGAAAATTTGGTTTACAAGATAAATGTTATGATGATATGGATGAAGACTTTGTATGGTTAGATATCAGTTAAAGAGTTATGGTATGTGACTTTGTATGGTTAGATATCAGTTAAAGAGTTATGGTATGTTTTAGGTCTCCATCATAACCAGCTGTATGTTCAGCCCTCATCAACAATGAGAAAACACGTGTCACAGGCAATGACTAAAGGCGATGTCAGTCGTGTGGATATCCCAAGGGTGACGTGGAAACCTTACATTAACTCCGGTAAGTTGGAGGAGAGTATTAATACTAGCTACCTTTAAATCATTCTTTATTATAGATAAGAGTATTGAAACTGTTATTTTCATTGCATGACTTTCATCACTTAGAGAACAGTCGGCATGATTGATGAAGGGGAAATAAAAATAACAGATTAAAAATAATAACTTGAGGGGAAAAATACAAATACTTTCATAAGAACATTGACTGTTAACATTTATTTCATTTAAGATCAACATGAGCATTGAAACTTGAATTTGTAAGGGAACGTTATGTTTTATTTTGATGTCCTGTGGTTCATTCAATCCAATCAGATATATACTATTACATGGACAAGGTAATACTACCTTTTGTAATACTGGATGTAATATATATGTTTTCAGCCCCATCACGAACCCCTTGGTTGAATTACAAAGGTAATAATGATGTGCCTCTCATTGACCACTGTGACCAGAACCTACCAGAGATGGCTGACGAACATGAGAAGGGTCTCTCGGTTTGGCATGAAAACTACCCTTTTGGTAAGTCACCCAACTTCTAAATTAACGCACAGTGATGTTGTGGAGCTTTAGAGGTTTTGGTAAAAAATATTTAGATGAGGCTGTATCCAATGAGTGCCCATTGTGATATTTTCTGTAAAATTGTTTCTTGATTTACGAGTCAGTGTTAATTTATGATGAAAATGTCCAATGACAACTTTTGTTTCGTGTATGATGCTCTGGTATGCGTTGCTCCAGTTTTCACTGATTTGACTGATTTGAAGTAGGCACACAAGGCACAAGAAGTTAACATAGAGATAATTAATTCATTCACCCCTGAAGACACATTTGAACTCTTCCAAATCAAATGCTGGAATAGTTCATTATGAAATTTCAGGGGTGAATGAGTTAAGTAATTGACTGAACACCTTTTTCAACAGACAATGGCTATTACCTGTACCCAGAATATGAATTTGTGGTTCCTAATTCTTCCTGTCCAAGATCCAACTCCACCTCTAACAAGGTGTCCTCCACTCTGATAGAGGATGTTATGAGTGCCTCACTGTGGAGCTACTGGTAAGCATGTTAATAATAACTGACTAGAAATTAAATACCTGAATACAAGACAAAAACCTGTATAAACCTGCCCTGTTACAAATTGTTGTCTTTTAGAAGATATGTTTTAATTTTCAAAATACTTTTAACTATCATTGTGTAGCATTTTCAACATTTGAAATTTATTTCATGCTTCATTGACTTCGGCTATCCAAATATTGATTATTATTAAAAGATTTTTAAAGGCGAATGATAAGAAGAAGATTAAAAGATTTTGTAGTTCATCCGTTTTTATATTTATACTAGATGTTATGTAGAAAGATAAAAAAAAACATCTTTGACATTCAGCAATAGATTTTACACTGTATTAGTTAGTGGAGTACTAGGCCTTTCGTCTTGTATTAGTTAGTGGAGTACTAGGCCTTTCGTCTTGTAGGCCTGTAATATTCTGATTAAATGCCATTACAATAAGGCCATATATATAAAAAAAAAAAGATAATAATTTCACCTTCCCTTGAACTTGGAACCTTCCATAAGTTTTTTTTTTATAACTTTTGTAATATCAAAAGTATTACTTACTTACTTTGTACCAACCCTAATGTCTGTAGAGCTGGAGTTGGAAAAGCAGTCATTCTTTTGTTTGGCCTTTTGTTACTCCCCTTTGATTTGATCAATGGAGACTGATACTTTTGTTACATATTTAACAGATTATTTAATGATTCTATGATATTTTCAGGAGACAAGTGATCAGCATTAGTGTTGTCACCTCCATCCTCGTCAACATCATCTTACACAAGCTAGGACGGAGGAGAAACATACCACTGCTTCCTCAAGTAAGTACTTGTAAAACAACTTAAAACTGCAATATTAAAATAGCCGCAGCTGCAACATTAAATCAGCAGCAACATAGTAACCTAATAATGATGCCTGTTAAATACTATAATTTTCAGGTTAACAGTTTATCCAGTCATTATACAATGAAAGATTGGCCTCTAGAACATCAGTCTTGGACTTCCATCCCTATGCATATTTCAAATATCAATTAATTTAAACTGCCTTTTTGCAATCATTTTTAATTTGTCAAGAAAGTCAAAATAGACCATATGTACATGTACATGCATATAAAGCTACATTTTCACACGGAACTGAAATATTTAATGCCTTAAGTCTAAATCTCTCATGACCATGGGTACTGGTCTTCAGGTTTTAAGAATTTATAATGAAATTTGGTCCACAATTCTAGAATTGGAAAGTTTAGTACCATTGACTTATTTCCCATTATGAAAAATCACAGGTAGCCTTCATCAAATGATGATTACATTTGGTCATACTGAACAGAAGCTTACGCATGTTTAAACTATTATTGACTGTCCTCCTGTAGTTGATTTAAACATATTTTTATTGTGCAGACAGTTCTGTAAACATACATTTTCAGCAGTGTATTTTATTTTCAGCACTTTTCATGCTTTGAATATTTAGCTAAATTATGATAGCGCTAATTTAAGTTTCTGTGTTTCCTTTATCACATATTGTGAGAGTGCTAATTCATCAGTACACTATCCTGTTAACATTCAAAGTTATGCTAACATTTCAGTCTGCTAAAATAAGTACTTTTACAGTGTATTAACTTATTTACCCTAAAGACACATTTGAACTCTTCCAATTCAAAGGTTGGAATAGTTCATTATGAAATTTCAGGGGTGAATGAGTTAAATGTTGAAAGGATTTGGATGATACGCTGTACAGTCAGACTAGTGCTGTCATGACAGTTTAGGCTGTACGCAGTTTATGTTGAATATGTTTTTATTTTCGAAACATACATTGTAGATGTCTGATAGTGGGGATGGAACAGCAGTGTCCATAGAACAGGACACGACAGCGCTTCAGAAGAAAACAGAGGATTATGTGTCGAGGTGAGTTCTTGAGCATAATTGATTGTTTCACACTGATCACTTAACTTTGATGGTATGTAGTACTTACTGTTTGAGGTAGAAGTGTATGGAGCCAAATGGAACTGGGTTCACTTCTCATTGGCTCAGGAGGCTCTCTAGGTGTTCAGAACACACCTACAAAACTGTGAATGTAGTCTAGTGTGCTGTTATAATGTTTGCTCATGAGGCCACTGTAGCCCATTCTTACCGAAGAAGGGAATTTTTCAGTTTGGGGGGGGGGGGGGCATGTGATAATTTACAATTGTTCATAATTGCTCATTTGTTTATCTTGCGTTAGACATGTTATATTGTATTGATATTGTTGTATAATATTTCAATATACAACAAAGAGAACAGGTAATTACTATTTTTCTCTGTCATATATACACATCCCTACGGAAGTTACAGAAGTTGTCACAATCCTGTCATTTGAATATATATTTTATTCCTTGCTAGTTGTAGTCTGTCAGACTGGATTCAATAGGTTTGGCCATGAAGATCCTGTGTGACAATCTTCTGTATTGAACTTTCTTCTATAGTTATCAGTCTTATTATACTTTTAACAAGTTAAAGTATTTGTAAGAAATGCAAGAAAATATGCCCTCAATTTTTCCATTTTTAAACTATAGATACCGACAGGACTTTGAGCAGATACAGGTTTTGGGTACAGGAGGCTATGGGGTAGTGTTTGAGGCTCGCAACAAGATGGACACCTGCAGTTATGCTGTTAAGAGGATTGAACTCAAAAGCAGGTATGATGCCTTGTACAGCTGGTAACTTGTAAATTTGAGCATTTTGTAAAATGTGCTCATATTTAAGAGAAAATATACATTTTGATTCTCTGTTTTAAGTTTCTATATGTAATATTTGCCAAGTTATTCAAAAAATAATAATATTAACAGTGTCTGAAATAACAGGATTCTATTAAAACTATAATTGATATGTATCCGTTTCATATTTTTTTATAGGTATCTTGGGTATTTAGACCGACTTAGGTTTGAGACTGTGTGCCTTGCCTATTTTAGGAAATATGTGATGGAAATAGATTTTAACTGATTGGAATTATATACAAAAAAAAAAAAAAAGTTGAATCACTGTCATTTTTTATCCAAAAATAATTTTTGTCAAAAAAGCGATTTGTTGCAATGTTGTGGCATAAACATTATTTATGTTTATTTTATTATAGTGTTAAATTGAATAGTTCATTACAATGTTTTCAGTGCCAAGGAGAAGGTGATGAGGGAGGTGAGAGCTCTAGCTAAACTCGAACACACAGGAATTGTACGATTCTTTCATGCCTGGGAGGAGTCGCCTCCCCCTGGCTGGCAGGAGGACATGGATCATCAATGGGAAGACAGGTAAAGAGTTCTTGGGAGGTTTAAATGACTTATTACAAATCTCACATGAATGTGATCAGGTGAACAATTTTTCCATCAGACCTTCATGTATAAAACTCCTACATAGTGTGTTCATTTTTCTTTGTTTTACCTGTATTCCTAATCATTTCCTTGAATTTAAATTGTGTATCTGACTATCACTACATAAGCTAACAGGGATACAAACAAATTTTTGGTAAACATCTGGAGACTTAAAAAAAACTCTGACTTTGAAATTGCATCTTCAAACAATTTTTTTTTTTACATATTTTTTGTCACCAAATATGTTCTAGATTTCACTAAATCGTTAATTGTGTACCTTTCTTTACAGTGAATGTGTGACCATGCCAACACCATGTAACTCTATACAGACTGAGTCACACGCCTTAAACATACCAGATTCTCCAGTATTTAACCTTCAGAATCCATTTGGAGGTCAATCCAAGGACTTTGATTATAACCTCCCAAGGAACAGAGCAGGTGGAGGTAGTGCGGAATTCTCTGTTGACCAATCAAGGATGACATCAGATTCAGAACCGAGCAGTGAGCCATTCCTTAATTTCAAAGATGATATAGACAATGATGATTCATTTGATGTAAAATTTAAATTAGAGGACAGTGAAGACAGTGGGAGCTGTTCAAAGTCTCTTCCATTTACCAAATATCACAAAGACTACTGGAGATCTTCAGACAACCAGTCCTTCAGCGTGCAGTTTGAGGACTCCGGTTGTGCTGAGAATGAAAAAAGTTCTAAGAGTGATTCAAGTGGGGGTATCGTGTTTACTGGAGAACACAGTGATCACAATTCAAATAACTTCAGGCTGAACATGCCTTCTATTGGTTCAGGTCGACAGTCACCATCTGCTTCTACAACAGATATACAGCCATCAAAAGCCAATAACATGTCAGAAAAAAACTCACAAAGTAAAACCAAACAATCAAAGGCACCTTCACAAAAATTGTACCTGTTTATTCAGATGCAACTGTGCCAAAGGGAAACCTTGAAGGAATGGTTAAGTGATAGTAACAAACCCAGGAACAAACAGGATATGTTAAACATATTTGGACAAATCGTATGTGCTATTGAGTATGTCCATGACTGTGGTTTGATGCATAGAGATCTGAAGGTAAGACCATATCATATCTATGATGGACTGTAGTATTTTCAGTAGATTATGAATTGCAATTTATAAATTTTTGATACTCTGTCCTGTTCAAAGGATAAATTTTAGTGTAAATTTTATTACTTAATCTTATTAAAATTATACCAGTTTAAATGTCATGGGGTAAAGTGTTAAGTTATTGGTTTGATTCCAGGAACTAATTTCCAAGGTTTAAATTTCACACAACACCTTACGCTCTTACAGCTGTTAGACCAAACTAGCTCACAATAAAAGAAAAACAAGCTTGCTTGTTAGTCTCTCACCGATACCGGGGGGGGGGGGGGGGGGGGGGGGCTATAGGTTTGCACTCTGTCCGTCCTTCCGTCTGAGAAGTTTATTGTTTGTCCAGGATATATCTTACATATTTTTTTACCAAGTTTTATCTTAATTAGAAAAAATGACAATTTCATTTTTTTTTCAATTGTAGCCATCCAACATATTTTTTTCGGCGGATAACATAATAAAGATAGGAGACTTTGGTTTGGTCACTGCCCTCTCAGAGGAGGAAATATTAGGGGCGGAAAATCCGGGGAACATGACCTTCAAGCATACAACAGAGGTTGGCACCAAACTCTACATGGGGCCAGAATTGGTAAGTTGGGAATGTCTTTTCAAATTTAAAACGATGCGACATGATATAAAATTTGACCTGATTGTTTTGACACACGGGTATCCACCAACTGTAATCTGGGACCTTTAGATTTGGTTTCTTTAGGATTTCATCTTTTGATATCATAGCCTGATAATATTTTGTTGAATTATTATTTTAAGTTGAACATTATTTTACCATATTTACACTTCCACATCAAAACCAATATGAAATGTGGATTTAGTGATAAATAGAACAGAAATTTGTTTGCTGTTACAGGATATCCTGAAGATTTAATGCAGTGTGTATATTCCATGTTTCTTTGTCTTCATAAAGACGGATGGATGAGTATGTTTTGTCGATGTTGTAGGTGTGTGGGAAGAGCTATAATAAAAAGGTGGACATTTTCTCCATGGGTATGATCTTGTTTGAACTGCTGTGTCCGTTCAGTACACAGATGGAGAGAGTTCGTACCATGACAGCTGCCAAAATTGGACAACTCCCGAAAGAGTTTGAAATGAACTACCCTGAACAGGTAAACCACTGTCATATGAGCCTTTGTATTCGATTTTCATTTGAACTGATCAGGACATTCAGCAATTATAAGAACAAATGATAATATGATTTATTATTTTGAGGCAGTATTTTTTTTCAATCAAAATCTTTTACTAAATGCCTAATGTTAAAATATTACCTTTGAGGAAATAGTCTTATTGAACTTGTAAGGGGTAATCTTTATGAATATCACCAAAATCATGGAAAGTGTATTAAATACTACATATGATGAAGCTTTGAACTCCTAACAAACACCTACTGTAGAATTTATATACTTCGCTTTTATTGCATAGAGAAAATTTTGAACAGAAATAGCCCTAACACTGTTTATTACTGGGTTTTTTTTAATGATAATATTTTGCTGAGAAAATGTTTGGTATGTCCTTACAGAGCCCGTACATTAAGTGGTTACTATGTGAAGACCCCGGTGGTAGACCTACAGCCACAGAGATACTGGAAAGCCCCATGATGGCGAGCTTCTGTCATAATCCTCCTCCGTCTCGGCCACGGCCACGGCTCCGAACCATCTCTAACGACAGCAGTGGTAGTGCAGGGACCATGGGACATGTCAGGAACCTGTCCCTGTAAACAAAACATATCCTCAATGACATATCTAACTTATTCAATTTAAAGCATTCCCCCTGGTGACACATTTGAACTCTTCCAATTCAAAGGTTGGAATAGTTCATCATAACAATTCAGGGATGAATGAGTTAATGTCGGGGTAAATATTCAGAAAAGTCTTGTTCAGTTTGAGGCATTCCTTAAAGTCTGATATAGTTTTCTGTGTGAAAACATCTGATTAGGTACTTTATCAGATGTTGTGTAAACTGAAGAAAGAAAGATAATGATTTATGACATTTTCCCAATTTTTTTTTCTTCTCAATTTTTAAATGATATGGAATTGTACTAACAGACAAGTTTTTCAATAAAAAAAATAAAAAAATACTTATGAACCTGATTGCATGATAAGTCTGTCTATATCAATATGAGGGCCATACAGTTTTGGTTAGATTGGGGAACAGAAATGATTCATTCTATGAAAACACATTTCTATGATTGTAACTTATGAATTACGAGTCTGGACTTAGTATGTAAGGGAGCTAACCCTAGATACAAAGTGAAACCTGTCTGTAACTTCTGAATGTTATACTGGGTTGTTCTTCAGTTTAGATGTTGAATACATATTTCCTTGTTAGCATTCACGTCAGATAAGTTATGTATAGGGTTTATAACCTTAAAGAGCTTTTTATTCATGATTAGATAAAAACCTACGAAATCTTGATTTAAAAATTGTGAATTGTAGCATATTTAATCACAGAGAATCTCTGAATGTGTTCGTTTTTTGGATAAAAACATGAACTATTGACAGCACAAATATGAAGCACCATATTGACAGCACTAATATGAAGCACCATAAAGATTTTACTGATGTCACCATAAATGAACTAACAGCATTGATTAGGATCAGGAATTTTATAGAAACCTGTTCATCCTAAATATTCTTGAAATTATTCAAGCAATTTTCGTGCTAAAACCACTGCATTCCAGCATATGTAAGGAAGAATTAGCAATAAAACATGATACATTAAAAATTGTCACTAATGGTTCGGGGAAAATAAATGCTTGTTAACATTAATACAGGTTAAAGTAGTACCATTGCTAATATGTAACAAAACATAAATTATACATATCTGTCACTTTGTGATACCTTTGTTTGTTTAATGCTGCTGAGTTGACGTGCTTATAGTTAAAGATCAAATAAGTTATGCCTGTATAAAGATATAGTACATAATTTGTAGAAAAGGGGGGGGGGGGGGGGGGGGGGGGGTAGAGAAAAAAAATGTATGGCCAGATCAAAACAATATTTGTCACTGGTGCCCTTTATTAGAACTGATGAAAGTCCTCAATTTGAATTCACAAAGCATTATTTTATCTTTTTAGCAGTGGAACGTCATTACTCGGGGCAGTCTAGTTAGAATAAATGAAGGTATTACAGTTCCCAGATAAAGTAATTGTATGGTAAGTGAGTAGACCAACCACTGGTTGTTAAGGAGCTTCCACAATACAGTTACCACTGGTTGTTAACCCTTTCACCACTGTAAACCATAATTGACTCATCCAGATGAATGTATGATAGAGTCTACTAAGGTTACCTAGGGGTGAAAGGGTTAAGGAGCTTCCACAATACATCAACCACTGGTTGTTAATGAGCTTCCACAATACATCAACCACTCAGTGTTAAGGAGCTTCCACAATACAGTAACCACTGGTTACCATAGTAACAGAACAAAATGCAGCTTTATACATTTTATGGGGATTTATTATGTATGTTGTTTTGAGATTTTAATCATGTTCCATTCAAGTTCAATTCATGTTCCATGGTCATCAGTTTATCTATTTTTAGTGTTTTATATTTTGTCAGTCACCGTGAATTCTTATTCTAATGTGTTCTTTTGTAACATATCTACTAAACATATTAAGGTATATGCTTACTATACTATTCATTACATATTTATAAGCAAATATTACCAGATGATAACAAGGAAAAGGTAGAATTGGTTTGAGTAGCCCATTCAAAGTGGTATGCAGCCAATTGTCTGGCGTGATGTTCTAATATGGCTCCAAAGGTAACCCTATTAATTCCAACTTTTTTTGTTAGGTTGCAAATTAATGGTTTTATCATTGAATTTCAAACATATTTCTCTTGTATGGCAGAATATACTGATATTTATTACTCGTGCTCCACACTCATGATAAATATCAGTATTCTACCATACTCTTGGAAGATGTTTGGTGTTTTAGAGGAAACCATTATTTATCCTCTATATGCCAAGGAAAGCTTTAAAATAAGAATGATTTTACAGCATTAGATTGATTATATATTATATCATTCATGGTCCCCACATGCCACCATTAATTGTTTTCTTTGGCCAACTATACAAAATATCAGCAAAACATTTGAGACACAAGTACACTGTAATACTGCTGATTGTGAAATTTCACTTAAATGATGGGATCTAGTTACATGCTACATACATGCTACATGAAAAGAGCACATATATTCACAAGCAAGTCATAATAAAATATTATTGGACCAATACCATCAATTCTCAGGTTAAGTAAACATTCCATAAGGTTTATAATTATGACCTCTATCTCTGAACAAACTTGAGCTGATATTGTTGTAAGCCTTTATTTATCTAGCATGTTTAAGTACTGATATGTTTGTTGCACATAATGCTGTTGTAATTTGTTTCATCTTTTCTCCACAGTATTTTTCATTTTCACTTTCCACATCCATTGTGATTTAAATTTTTACTATCCGGTCGACCTTTATTTTAAGTTACGTCATGATATCTGTTACACATTGTAAGCAATAACTCGGTTTTTGTTTCATTAAAGTAAGGTCTCTATTAGTTGTAGACACCATGGTTATAAGGGAAGACTGGTTCATTATTCCACAGTAACCTATGTACATATGAAGTCATGAGCTCTCTGGTCGTTTAGTACATAGTCCTCCCCCACATTTGCTAAAACAATCTATGACATTTAATGTAGAATTAGTTGTGTGACGGTATTTTTTATAGATTTTCAATTTGTTACAATACATCATGTACATTTACAATTTAGCGTAAAAATGGCAAGGTCAACATTTATTTTAATAACTAATGAACGTTTTTCTAGATATGTAGTTGGTGCACCCTAAACTTGAAACTTTCTTTCATTGCAGAATAACTGAAATTACATGAGTTTTAAGGGTACATATTTTGGATCCATTTGTGAAACACTGCTTACCTTAATATTTCTAGTAAGAAAAGACAAGTGTTTAATGCTTCAGTGCATTGTAGTATTATTTCTTAACATTAGCTTAACTAGGTTTAGTTTGACACAAGCTTAACAAATAATCTCTAGGTTTTTTGAAATTAATCCTTAACTCTTCAGATCAGAAAAGGGTAAAAAGACAACATTATATAGTTGTGTTTGGACTCAAAAGACATGAAATATTTGCTGATTATGAAAGGTTGAATTAATATTTCTTAATTCAGGTCACACACTTCTTAACAGTTAGGCTGTCGAATACATTCGTATCATGGACAGTGAGATTATACATGTATATGTATGTATGAGTTAATATTATTGTATGGAAAGTGATTAGTGTCTGCTTTGTAAATAATGGGTGTATAAAGTGACAATTGTATGACTGATGTGTGAGATATGAGCATGGAGAGAGGGGTGTGTATATATTGGATAAATGTGTCAGATGTTTATACATGTATGTGTGAGGTGAGATTATCATGAGTGTACTTGCATTATGTATAGGGTGTTTTACTGCCAGTGTTTTAATGCGAGATATATGTGGAGAGTTATTCCCCTTGGTGTTTTATGGCATTTAAATGTGTGAGATACATATATGTGATGAAAGTAATGTATGTTTATGATATATTTCTACCTGTTTCCTATTATTCTCTGTAGGTTGGTAGGAATGGATTGTATACAGGTTTAATGTGTAAAATATTTAGTAATCACTAAATTTCGTGAGATACTTATTTTTTTAATCGTTCATGACGACTGTTGATCTCAAAATATGTTTGTATATATACATTTGTACTCAATATTTGTTCAGAATAACTTTAATTAGAGGGCTGTAGTTATTGTTTGCAAGTATCTAATTCTAAACTTCAAAAATAATGATAGATCGAAGAGAATGATCACGAAAATAAGTATACACAAAATTTAGTTGGTTTACAGGAAGTTAATTTCTCATATGGTACCGGTTAATTTGATTTTATGAACACATCTTTATTAACTTGTTAATCTCTATTTATTACACAAGGATGCATTTTGCACATTTCCTTTAAAAAAAACCTGAAATTGATGGAAACATCAAGTGTTGAGACTTCACTGTGTTTAGATATTCCTAGTGATAAAAGGTTGATTGTAACAAATGACAATCTTAATGTCGTGGAAATGAGTGTGCTGGTTGTGAAATCAATTCTTATGATGTTCTACTGTTATTTCAGATTGTATAAATGAAATAAAACTTGCATTAAATGCAATGATTGAACAAAATCGATTTTTGCACTTCTGTTTTTAGGTCACCTGAGCTAAAGCTCAGGTGACCTATTGCTATCCGTTTTCGTCCGTCGTCGTCCGTTAACATTTTACATTTCAAACTTAAAGTCAAGTTCTGCTGGGCCGATTGAACTGAAAGTTGGTAGGAATAATCGCCTCATGGTCCTGACAAAGTGTTGTTATTTTTCGGGTCGATCAGAAATCCAATATGGCCGCCAC